AAAAAGAAAGAGAGTGGTGTGGCCAGGCCCTTGGACACTCTTTCGTGCGCAAATGACTGCACAAACTCAATTCATTATCAGACTGACGAAGCAGAACTTCAAGAACCGAGAAGACACAAGCGCTTGGAACGAAACATGATGTGAGTGTCAACGTCTTCTTCCGAACACAATGCACTCTGAAAACGGACGAATACAAAGCTAATTTTCGAGCCAAATGCACTGACTGTCCGAACACAATGCACTCTGATTACGGACGTATACAAGCTAATTTTCGAGCCAAATGCAGTGACTGTCATGATGAGGGGGAGTTGTGTTCGGGGGAGGACGGTAGCCCGCCTCTGATTCTGAAATCGACCTTTACTGGCGGACATTTTGCGCCTGAATAGGAAGGGAGTGACTACAAATAACAATACGATACGATATAAAAAGAGGGGAAATTTTCGAAATACCCCTCCCACCCTATCCATTTTGCGGTAAGCCCCTCCAACGGCCGACCTACCCTGTCGTGCCCCTGGGGCCTCTGCAGTTTCCTGCAGGCAGTCGGAGGGGCATTTCGAATATTTTCGATAATTAAAAAAGAAGAAAAAGAGGAAAGAAAAAAAAATCCTTGGTTAAAAAAAAAAAACAAAAAACAGAAACAAACAATATTGGAATCTCTTTCGAGGCCGTTAATCTTCAGAATAGACGGTCGAAAATGGAGAATTCAGGTAAGTGGGACTTGGTACCGGGGCCCTTGTAGCAGTTGAGGAGGTTTAGGTCAGGTTCAACGTATCCACGGACCACGGGTCTCTGCCATCCGATCTGGAAGTCTCACGACCATAGTGTGGCTACAGCGGAATACGGCCGGGCTAATTGCCTTTAGAGCAGTTTTTTTTTTTCTTTTTCCGTTTGGAAGGGACAATTTGCGAAGTACCCCCATACGTTGAGATATATGCCAAATGCCCCTGAAAGATGTGTGTAGAAAGGAATGCCCTGTCCTGTTATGCAGTCCGGCGGGTGTGCAAATTTGCAATCTGGACCTCTTACTACCTTCTTCCCCCGAATACAACGTACGGTCCTTGTAGCTGTATTTAGACTGAAACATACCCCAAATACAGGTATAATGACCGTACGTTGTATTCGGGGGAAGAAGGTAGCCAAGGCTTGTTGCAGCTGCAACAGCAGGTGCAGATTTGCTGCAACTGCAGCACTTCGTTACAGCTGCTGTTGCTGCTGCAGAAGCCTTTGCGGATGCAGCAATTGTTGCAGCTGCAGCCGCAAAGGCTGCTGCACGGCTGCAGGCAGCTGCAGCACTTCGTAGCAGCAGCTGTTGCTGCTGCAGCAGTTGTTGCAGCTGCAGCAGTTGTTGCAGCTGCAGCTGCAACAGCAGTTGTTGAAGTTTCCCCACAGTGTGGCAATGTGTGCCCAATGCTGCCCATTGGGTCTACCCATGTAGTGCACCGCCACAAACGGTGGTGGTGTGCGAGGGTTCAGCATGCAGATTGCTGCCGCAGTTCTTTTCATGTTTACCTTTGGGTTCTCTTTAGGCATGGGTGCGGCGGTGCACGACATGGCGCCTGCGCAAAAACTGACCATGTCAGTACACCCATCTAAACCCTAACCATGTCGTGCACCGCCACAAACGGTCCTTCGTAGCCGCAGACCTCCACCAGAGATAATCGGATCAGCGTACTCGTGTAGTCTCTGACTCTCTGGCAGTTCGCAGACTACGAGCCGATGGGTGGTCGCAGACTACCAGCCGATGGGTGCGATGGGTGTACTGACCAGTGACCACAGGGTCTCCATCATCTTGCAGTCTGTTACGCAATCCTCAGGGAAGCCAGCCAAGTCAAGAAACATGTCGAGGAGATACTAGGGCTTGTTCTTTGCCGAGAGAGGTCACTGATGGACCGTTGGATGACCTGCAAGACGGATTCGTAGTAGTTCCTGTTGCAACCCGACTGAGTGAGGTTTCCAATCCAGGCTTGTTTTCTCTAACTGAGAGAGGAATTCCAGCCAGCTCTTCCAGAAATCATGGTCGTGCCATCTGTCAGGGAGAGAGAGATTGGATGCAACCACCTGCAGAAGCAATGGCAACCCCCCACATTTTTTGCACACACCTCCTGCGCCAGCCCTTCGAGATCCCGAGGGGGGTCTTCGTTCCCAAATTTAATGCAAAATAACAGAGAATATCAAATACGTCATCCTCTTCGACCAGTTCCACAAGAAACGTCTTCACCGCCGGGAGCATCACCATGTGACATGTCTTTGTTTCTGGTTGTGACGATAACGGTGCAGTCTGCATAAGCCACACAGGGCACCCATCTGATCACATTCTGGTCAGGCGTCCAGACATCATCGATCACTAGCAGACATCTCTTTCCTCTCATCTTCACTTTCAGATAGGACTCCCTCTCTTCGCTGTACCCATGTTCGTCGGAAACACGCGTTGTCCCTTCATTTCTCCAATGCCTGTTGGCTCTGTTCGATCAACTGGTGAGCAGTTCTCTCCTGCCCACAGGATAATATAAACATGGTCACATCGCAGGACTCCATTTTCACCTCGTCATTATCATGAATGGATGAATCTGTTTCGCAAGTGTGGTTTTGCCGATGCCACCCGTTCCATGCAGGCAAACCCCCCACTTTCGGCCAATCCGGATACGATTTGGAGTTCGCTGCCGTTGCAGGAGCAATCGCTTCTTCGGAGTTCTTCCCGACTGAGTATAGCTGGGACCACCTTTCTCAAGAGAGTGTCCGTACCCGACAGAACGTCCTCAGTTGCAATCGTTCTAAAGAATCTGAACTCCAACGTTGTCGGAGAAATTGGAGAATCGTCTTTACCAGTCCAGGGCCGTAACTGGTCGAACTGGTCACGGCATCACGCAACTTCTTAACCTCATCAGCGGTTGCTTCCACTGTTCCACACAGGCGCTCGCGCTTGGCTGTAATGGGTCCCTCGTCTTCTTCATCGCTTCAGTGGTTGCGTCCACACAGGCACTGGTGTGGGAATCAAGCTGGCCACTCCTCGTTTTTTTTATCGCTACGTTGGCTTCCTACTCCCAAGAAGGTTCTTCTGGGTCAAGTCCACGCTCTGCGTTGCTCCTCCCTTAAATCTCTTGGTTCGTCCTGAAGATTCGTCGGTGCTCCCTTGGCCTGTCCTCGCTTCCAGTATATCTTAACTGCAGACATCTTTCCGCACCATGCACACCGTCCTCTGATGTTTGCCAACCCGGATCTCAGATCCGGCACCTTATCGGACAACCTTGAACTGTCTGCGGATGTGAGGCCAATTGCGTCAACCCTTCTCAAATACGACATTGTCACGTCGACATCAGATTCAAAGGTATCGCACCACTTCGTGTGCTTCCACACCACTTTTGGCAAACTCCTTAATAGCTGCAAACCCAAAACTGATGAAGCCATTCAGAAGGGTACTTGCAGCTGCGCCTGCAAAGGTTTCACGGAACTTTCACCCGCCATCTCCACAACTGCGACAGAGCAGCCTCTGCAACGGCAACAGGGTCGCGAAACGTGTGAAATTGTAAATCATTAGAATCGGAACTACATTTGTGCATGCAACTTGAAGCTGCAGTTCTCAGGCATTAAACCACCAGTACTTGGCGCAGCTATCGGCCCGCGGACAAAAAATAGAGTAGAAGTGTTTCTGATGAATTTGGCCGCTCCTGTAGTGGCGGCCTTGTACGGTTCCTAAAGTCGCGGCTTCTTTATGGGCGCGACTTTAGGAATTACTGGCGGTTTAACGATGACAATTGCACCAATTTTGTACCAGTGTTCTCCTGCAAGTCTACGCCAGAAGCCAAGTGCATCCCACCACTATGATACTGGCCTCGGCACGACGACACCTTTTCCTTCTTTCGATAAATCGAAACGCAAACGTTCCTTCCCTCAGGGAAGGATCGGAATCAAAATGATGTGATCTCAGTAGAGTCTGTACTAGGGAATATGAGCACAAAGAGCATGAAACTATATTGCAGTACTTACGATCACCGAGAATTTGCGAGAAAGAAGCGGAACCAGAGTAGAAAGGACAAAGGGAGAAAAAAACCGATCGCTTGGACTCGCGACCTCTCTTCCACATTTGATTGGCAACTTTCTTCCATGTGACCACGGTAACCGTCTTCACCCGAATAGAACGCCCGGTCATTTTCGCTGCATCTGGACTGAAAGTTCTCCTAAATACAGCTGTCAGGACTGGACATTACATTCAGGCGAAGACCGTAGGAATGTGTCTACTGTATAATTTTTTTCGTGGATTTGCCGTAACGCTGTTTACTTGGAGGAGTCAGGAGGACCCCTCTCGGACCCTATGAATGGTAAATTTCAAAGACTCTGAGCTGGTCGGTGCCTATTTTCTATATTCAACAGAAGGGGAGTCAACTTAGTCAAGTCTCAGTCAACAACTGCAGTCCTGGCAGGCAGGCAGAGAATATACTAGAGCACGGAACAATGCTATATATCCAACGCCGACAGTATGTTTGCGAAGGCATGGCGAGCAGGCCGAAGGTGTCACGACTGTTTCCAGCACAAGTGTGTGTGTGTGTGTGTGTTTGTGTGTGTGTGTGTGTGTGTGTGTGTGTGCTGTCTCTTATACACATCTAGATGTGTATAAGAGACAGGGGGAGGCACAGTGACTGGCCCATAGAAGAAGCTACTGTAGGAACTGATGCTACCGGCTGACCCCTGGCCTGTATCCCCCACCTGCTGTAGCGGGTATCTCACCTGCTGGTAGGTGCAGCTCCTGCATTTTCCCTCGTTGAAGGCTTGAGCACGGATGTGGCTGCTACAGGGTTCCCTGTAATACTATAATGACAACAAAAAAAAAGGCCTGAAAGTCCGTCCTGTCCAGATTCGACAGGTAATTGAGTTGGTTGGGCTTAAAGAACTAGCCTTTCAAAAAAAAAAAAAAAGAAGAAGGAAGTGGACGGGTACAAAACCAAGTATCTCCGAACAGTCGTCAGGGAATGGAGCGATTGAGAGCGGGCATCAGTTCGCAGGGGAGCGTCTTTCCTGTTGTCGGCTCTTCGTTCTATCCCGCCATAGCCACTTGTCCCTTTGCTGCCGAGAGCGCCATAGCTCGCAGCGGGAAGGGCTTTCCTCTTTCGTCTCTCTTTAAGATTCCTGCGAATCGGGGAACATCGCTGACTCTTAGCCATCGCAATGGCGGCGGCGCGCAGCGCTTTTCTGGTGATGGCGGTCTTTGTAGCGTCTGTGTTCGCTACCACTTGCGCGGCAGATCTCTTTGACACTCTCCAGAGCGATCAACGATTCAAGGTCGTGGTTAAGGCCCTCGTCGACACGCAGGAAGTTGACGCTCTCCGAGATCGGTCCAACGGATCGGTGCCGTTCGTCTTCATCGCGCAGACGGATGCTTCCCTCCAAGAGGGTCTCGGACCTGATGGTCTGGCGTGCATCACCCGGCCCGAGCACGTTAAGGACCATATGGTCCAGATTCTGCGATTCATGGAGGTGGGACCCTTGTCGCGTCCGGTGAAGACGGCAGCGGATCTGTCGTCGGTTGCAGTCGACGGCAAACTGCCGACCATCAACGGCATGCCGATCTTCGTGGAGCCTGCGTCGACGGCAAGCAGAGTCATCCTCAGCGGCGATGCTGAGCAAGAGCAGTTCTCGGCGACGGTGGCGGAGGTGAAGCAGATCAACGCGAACGTGACGCTGGTCGTCGTTGCGAACGGTTTCCTTGTCTCTGCGCAGGTCGACGAGCAAATCGCGATGGCCTGCTTCCCGCCCGCGGCATCGTCGTCCTCCCCCGCAGTTCCCATCGCCGCGTCGTCCGCGCATGCGCCGTCATCGAAGAATGCCCCGTCGTCGAAGAATGCCCCGTCATCAAAGGCTGTGGAGTCGGCTCCGTCTTCCATGGGGCTCTGGAGAAAGTTGCTCCGGGGTTACTGATTGCAAGAGCTGTGTTTGTGTGTGTGTGTGTGTGGAGAGAGAGAGAGAGAGAGAGAGAGAGAGAGAGAGAGAGAGAGAGACTTACATTTGCGCTCGTGTCCCATCATTAGGTCGCGTGCGTCGCTGATCGTCGATGTAAGGCGCGATGTCGGTGGACTGGATACCGGTGGGAACACGGCAATGGCCGGGACGGGAATTCATCAAGAAAGGTTGTTTCAGTTCTCGATCTGTGGATGTCTAGATCGAGAAGAGATGATTACGGCATTCGCACGCGGAAGATTGCCGCCGCTTCTCCAAAAATAGATTGGTCTTTCCGATTGGTATGATTTTTTTTTATTTTTTATTTTTCGATTTGTCAATTCATGCCAGTCATCCGAAGAATGACGCGCATAAATCGTCTGAATAATTGTTGACTTTGGTTGGACATAGTGAAATGTTAATCTACGGATATCTCGCTGTAGTGAGCAGCCGGGCAACATCAGTTTATTATTATTATTTGTTGTGAACTTGCGATTATTTCTATTACATTATATCATAATTTATTCGGTTATTAACTTGTAGTTTTTTTTTTTTTTTTTTTTTTTTNATTTGTGACGATATATATATATATATCATATATATATATATATATCGGTGAAACTCCGACGAAACAGTTTGTCACAGCCCCTCGTTTGTTGTCCTCTTCTCCCTCTCTGCCTATGGTTTACCGGGCAGTTCTATTTGACGATATATATATATATATATATATATGATATATATATATATATATATATATATATATATATATATATAGATACGATATATATAGCCGAGCTGCCCGGTAAACCGTAGGCAGAGAGGGACAAGAGGGAAAAGAGGACAACAAACGAGGGGCTGTGAGAAACTGTTTCGTCCGACTTTCACCGACTCGTCAGAAGGCAGAACCCATCTCTCTCTCTCTCTCTCTCTCTCTCTCTCTCTCTCTCTCTCTCTCTCTCTCTCTCCCTCTCTCTCTCTCTCTATATATATACATATATATGAATATATTATATACATATATTATATATATATGCATTCCATCACTTGCTTGGAATGTTCTTCTTTTAAGGATTTTGTCTGTCACTCTGTGCACATGGACAAAGTCATGTGCACTGTGCAGAGAGTGTGCCGTACACCTTACGTGCCACTTTCTGCACGCAGTAGTGCTGCAAGTATGGTTCAACTTGGTGTTAACTCTGTTTCTTTGGGAATGCATTTGACAACTACCCAGAATGCAATCAGACTCGTTCTCAAACACACTTTTCATGCATGTAAACAGTAACGCAGCATACTGGCGACATGCGCCCACTCAAAACTCAGAGATATGGCTTTCAGATACGAGTTCACTCTCAATTGGCTATGGCGACTTCAGCGCCCAAACATCTCACTGTTCACATACACTGGATCACTCTGGATATCCCACACGCATCACTCTAACACTCGAGCACACGCACACACTCACTACTAACTACAATTATGGCAGCTATGGCTGCCTCTAATCTATCGCTATGCTAACTCCTCCTGTCTTGCCCACTGCGTCCTCCGGGCTCATCTGCAGACCTCCTTGCACAAGTCGCTGTGGCTGCGCTTTCGCATGGCTCACGCAGGAATGAATGAATGGCTGGGCGCTGCCTCTTGATTTATACTTCAGAAACTCATTGGTCTGCCCTTTGCCATCGGCCCTTGGTGCTTACAGTCCCCTTGTGGTACTTGCTGGACCGGACTGGGACTGACTGGACCTTCCGTTGACTGACTGTGGACTCACCGCTATCCTACCGCCGTTGCACTGCTGTTGCACTGCGGTTTAGTCCACCACTTGCCTCACCACTTGACCACTTGCCCACTTGCCTACCTTCTAGAAGGTCTAAAGCTAAGCTTCCAGAACTCACTAAGACTCCTACGCTATAGACCTACAGATCGAACCCCTGCTGTCTATGGACCTACGATAGGTCTACCAACTGCCTACGAATACACAGGTCACAGGTTCAATTCTCGGGGTCTACATAGATACTGTACATGGGTATGAGGTCTAGGGATCGAACCCTGGGTACTGCATCCGCTACTGCTAAAAGGTGAAAACCGTTTCACTCCCGCCGTCCTAAATTCGAGGTCCTCCGAGAAAATTTTAGTCCAAGGCATGACCTTTACCTTTCTTGTCACGCTCATAGGCCCTGACTATGTCGGGAGCGGTCTCTAGAAGTTCTGCTTTCGTGARCCAGYDGTYRTCTTCCGGTTCCTGATAAGCAAACCGGACCTTATACTGTTTCTGGGGACGACCTCTACCTCCTGTCCTAAACACATCCTCTTCTACAATGCCCTCTATGTMATRGCTTCCATCCATACCCGGTGGAATCATGGATCTCCTGGAAGGGAATTGTTGACTAGTGATACATGGCAGCAGCTTTGAAGCATGAAACACAGGGTATGTGTGGAGGTGTGCTGGAATCTCAATGCTATAGGACGGTCCATCCTCTCCGCCCTTGACTTCTAGAACCGGCCACGGTCCTCTATATGCAGGCAGTAACTTCTGCGAGATGTTTTCTTCCGGTGCAAACTCTTTTGCCTTGACCCAGACTAAGTCGCATACTTGAAACTGTGATGGGCGACGGTGTTTGTTAGCCTGCTCTATCATTCTGTGCTGGGCCTTCCGTAGGTTCTCAACAACAGTGGCTAATTCCTTTTCGTGCTGTATCGCAAACTCCCTGGTACCGGGTGGTAATCTGTGAATTTGATCCCGGTTCAGTCCTTCGAACGGTCTGCGCGGTCTGAAGGACTTGTGCAACTCATTGGGGGTGCAGCAGGTGGATAGATGCACGCTGTTGTTGTAAGGACTAGCTACCTTAGGCAACATCTCATCCCAGTTAATCTGATCTGGTCTAATGTACATGCGCAGAACTTGCTGTAGGATCTGGTTCATCTGTTCTGTCTGACCGTTAGTCTCTGGGTGACGACCGGACGACGTTAACAACTTAGATCCGTAGACTCTCATTAGTTCTTGCCAGTTCTGGCTGGTGAAACGACTGTCCCTATCACTAACTATTGACAATGGGATTCCATTCTCACTAACCCAAAAGTCAAAGAACTTCTGTATTACTAAATTTGTACGTGCCTCTGCAAGCAAGGGAACAAAAACTGCATACTTACTAAAACGGTCGACTATGACCATGACTTGGCTCTTACCATGTCTGCTCTTGACTTGCGTGTCCATGAAGTCTATGGATACCGAGTCTCCCGGCTGATCCGGAATAGGCAAGGGTCTGAGAAGACCTAGGGGCGCGCATGTAGTAGATTTATTCCGCTGGCACACTTTACAACCGCGGACATACTCTATGCAGTCGTTCTTCATCCCTGGCCATGTGTACGCACGCATCAGATTGGCTAACGTCTTTTGCCAACCGAAGTGTCCCTCAGTATCGTGACATTCCCCTAGAATTAGACTACGAATCTCTTCGCTGTTGGGAACGCACAGGCGGTCAAACATATTAGTCTTCTCAAACAACAACCCGTCTGTAGTGCGGTAATCTGGTTCGGTCTCTGGGGTCTCTGTAACTCTCTTTAGGAGGTCGCTATAGATAGGGTTCTGCGTATACGCTTGTTTCACTTTCTCCTGCAGGTCTCTCCCTATATCCAGATAATGTACTACGGCTCCAAAGTAGTCTGATCTCCTACTTAGAG